TATAATCGATAAGAGTTTTGATCAATTTTGCATCTTCACCCGGAAAGTGTATTTGATCTGAGGTAATTTGTGCAGCATAATGTACCGCTGTCAAACCATCCTAAATTTTTTTTTGCTTTTTGAAAGATATTCAAAATAAAATTTGAAGCTTGAAATATTTTGCTAAAATTTAAAATCATAAATAATTATAGCAAAATTTGTTAAAATCATAAATTAAGAAAAGCAATAAATTAATTAACTTTTTGATAGTATAAAACTTTAAACATACTACCTACCTGAATGGTTCGAGCATTAACAAATTCTTTAATTTCTTCAGGTGACATTTGTTGAGAAAGATGTTCTAAGATAAGTGTCACTGCTTCACTATTGCAACTTTTTGCTGCTACATGCAAAATACTTTCACTACTCTGCAATATTGTAATGTAACTCGTTAATAATATTTATTGAATTAATTAAATAGAAATTCCTTATGAAGAATAATATATTCATATAATAGTTTCTTTTACTATTACTCTCTATAACTTCTTCATTGAACCAATTTTGACAAAACATATTTAATTCTTCAAAAGTTTTCTTTTTTCATTCTTTTTATCTTTTATAAATAAAAAAATTTTAAAAAAAATTCATTTTAATTAATATCAGTATTTGTTAACATTATTCATTTATAATTACTAGAGTTATTATTATTATTATTATTATTATGTGATTTGAAATAAATAAAAATTAATGCTTAATTTTGCTAACATTAGAACAAATTTTTGGATCAGCGCCTTCACTTAATAGCAAACGTATCATTCCGGAAAGTGGATTACGTGCAGCAATATGTGATGGCGTTTCACCGTCATTACGTGTAACGTTTACTTGTGCGCCACTTTTTAATAACATTACAGCGCATTCGATTGCATCTTCCGTTGTTAATGATGCAGCAATATGCAAAGCTGTTTCACCGATTACACCGCCATGAATATGCACATCTGCACCATATCCCAGTAATGCTTCAACAATAGATGCTTTACCTGCTTGCACTGCAACGTGCAGTGCTGTGTAATTGTCCTGAATTATATTAGATAATTTGTACTTAACTATATTTTTTATAATGAATTACCTGATTAATGTTAGTACTGAATAAATGTTCAACAATATCAAATTTCATTTTCCATCTATGCATTTATACAATTTGTAAAAAAAGCAATTTTGTTTATATCCCACTCAATTCAAATTTCATTTATACAAAAAGACGAAATTGAATAAAATATTTTAAACAAAATTATTTTGTTATACAATTTCTTATATGAATATTGTTTCAATTACAGTAAATTTGAGATTGGATTTCTCTAATAAACCGAGAAAAATTAAATATTGCAAATTTTTTAGCAAAATTTTAACGTTTCAAATTTTTGGTAAAAAGAAAATATTGTAGTGCGATAATTACTCTAGTTTTGATATCAACATTTGTTCCTCGAGCAATTAACAGTTGAACAACATCTGTAAAACCAGCAGCTGCTGCAGAATGCAAACCCAAAGCACCTGAATTAATTAATTAAATATATTATATAAATGTTCTTTTCAGATATTTTGATGATTTCACAAATATTATAATGATATTAGTAGCTTTTTAGTGATATCTTAATAACTAAAAATAAATTATCATTTCTTGAATAAACAAAATAACAAATATATTTCAGCTCAAAATTTATACTAAGTTTTTTTAGGAATATATTTTATTCGATATTTTAAATTAATCGATATATCTCTTTCAAAAATATTAATTGATATAAATTGCAATTATTTTTTACCTCGTCTATTTGGCATACAAAGTGGTACACCGTGTTTTAAGAATGTTAATGCGGTTGAAGCATGTCCACTTAAGGCAGCAACATGCAATAACGTACTACCATCACGTGTACGAGCACGTACGGACCCTCCAAATTTCTCAATCAGCAGTTCAGCAATATTCGTGCGTCCAGCAGCTGCTGCAATATGCAACGGTGTTCGATCTTCCTAAAAAAAATCTTCTAAAATTATAATACTAAAAAAAGTTAAAGATTTTTAAACATCAAACAATTTGTTATTGAAGTTTTGAAATTTTTAAAATGTCATAATTCATAATATTCGAATTTTAAAATTTAAATTTCAAATAATATTTTTACAAAATTTCAAAAATCTAATAAATTTAACCTTATCAAATATATTTGCATTAGCTCCAAGTTTATGCAAAATTTTCAGCGAAACAACATTTCCATTCAATGCCGCCTCATGAAGTACTGTCCAACCTGCTGAATTTGCAACATTTACATCAATTTGATCATAGGTAGTAAGAAGTTGCAACATATCGTTGTTATTTGATCGACATGCAATATGCAATAATGAGTCACCATTTTCATCTACCTGTAAACAAACTAACAATGTGCAAAAAATTTTATCTAAAATCGAAATGTGAAACTTTTAATATAAATATTATTGTTAAAATTTTGACATGTAGTATTGAAATTTTTTCATGATATTTGGGAAATTCATAAGACTATTTTAAAAGTTGTTAAAGATTTAAAAAATAAAAAGAAAGACATCTCACATGCGACAGTTGGTTACTTTTATCTATTTCCAGTAGTAATTTAACTGTATCCATATTACCACACTGTACAGCATACTGTATCGGTAAGCATTTATGCAAATCTTCTACAAGACGACCTTTTTCCCAATGTTTCAATAGCATATGTGCTACACGGAAACCGCGTTTCGATGCACGACTGCATGCAAAATGTAAAGGAATTTGATTCGATTTCTGTAATTAACGTAAGTGACACTGTACGTGACGTAACGTAATAATGTGATTTCGACTAATGAATTTTATTAATAACGCAGGCTTACTGTTTCGACAGTTTTGAAATCAATTTTATTGCCTAGCAGATGTCGTATCATTCCTTCATTTCCATAAAATGCTGCAATATGTGCGATTGTTCGTCCGTCCTGAATAAAATCTTTTATGGTAAATTATAGTAAAAATAAAAAATGCCTCCTAGAAAATGAAACATTCCAAGTTAAATTAGAAAGATTTAAAGTAATTAAGTAAGTAAAGTAAATAAATGAAGTGGATGAGTAAAATTTAAAATTTTCGTTTTTTTAAAGTCTTCACTTAATGTAATTATCTTCAATTGCTTCTCTTCTTCACAAATATTTCGCTCATACATTTAAAGTTTTTTAAACCTATTATCATTTATAATGGAGTTTTTGAAATTTCGTAAATTTCAATTTAATCACAAACTTTTGTTATTGTATTAAGCAGTGCTCCACGACTGAGCAATTTATTGAAAATCGAAATATTACAACTTTTGACTGCATGCAATAAAACTGTAAAACCAAGCTGAAATAATTGTATGGCGTATAACAAATAAATATGTAATGAATAATAAAAAAATGAGAAAATAAATTTTAGGAAAACATAAATTAGCATTCATCATTTCCGAAAAGCATTTCAGATTTTTGGGATGAGAAATGGCACCCATTCTTCTTTTCTAAAAAATTGTATTCTTTTTTTCATTTATTAATTTCAATTCCCATTCATTTCCCTGCAATGATTTTCATGAGATTTACGGAATTTTCTTCATTTTTTTTAAAGATAAAAAGGATATCAGAATATAATATAATTAATTAAAATAATTTCTTCTTCTTATCATAAAATGTTATTAAAAATGTTTCTTTCTATTCTTCTGAAATGTTGAAAATTTTTGGAAATTTCAATAAATTTAAATTTATTTCCAATATAGTATCATTTTCACTTTAGCAATCCATTCCGTTTTCTTAGCATAAACATACATTTGGTGTAGTTAATGGTGAAATTTTTCAGAAAACGGAAATGGGTGAATATTTATTCAGAGAGCAATTATATAGCAAGAAAAAGAAGGGAGCAATAAAGCAATGGTAAAGCTGTCGAGAGAATAACTTAGGCGGAAAGGAACATAGCGAAAAAGCCCCGGCTGGATTTTTATGCAGGGAAAAAAGCTCGAGAAATGAAGGATTAAATGAAATATTATAATTAAAATAATTTATAATATGTTTGGCGAAAAGAAATGAAATTGAAATTAAAAAATATTTCAATTAAGTGTTCTTTTCTGGTAGGGATGAATTATAAATTTTAAATACAACATAAAAAATTGAACAACAATAGTTGGTATTTAATTTCCATCGTTAATTTACATTAAAAATCGAGCACACAAAATTTGAATTTCTACTCTATATTTTACATTTTCGGGGCAAATTTTACAAGATTAAACTTACTGAATCTGTAAGCGTAAGATCGAGATTTTCTTCACTGTTTAAAATTTGCTCCACATTTAGCCATTCACGTTTCATTGCGTACAGTAAAAGCTAAAAATTTTGATAATTTAAATAATGTAAAATTACTTAATTAATTGAATGATTTCCACAGAACTACTCGAAAATTTTTTGAATTCATTCAAATACTACAATTAAAAAAATTTTGAACTTATGATAAACTTTAAACATACCTTAAATGACACACTTTTACCTTCATAATCATCTTCGTCGATCAATAATCCTGCAGAGGTACTCGAACTTTTTGATTCTTTTGATGTACTGTGCTGAGTGGACCATTTCATCAAATCCGCTTCATGATCTCTTGAGCCAGCTTTTTTCGAGCGTATACTTTGAGATGATCTCTCGGATAGACGATCGAAATCTTCCAGTGAAGAATGCTTATCATGACTTCTTTCCAAATTTTTCAAACTTAACAATGGTCGATTGCTCTGTGATATATGAGATTCTCTGGTAATTGAATTTGTTTCACTGGCTCTGGGATCCGGACTGGATGAAAGACTATTTGCTGATTTAGAAGTTTGCTCGTGTCCAAATTTTGTTTTCTTCTTTAGAAGTAATCCAAGTATTCCGGTACGTGGACTAACCATTCCCTCTGCAATCTCTTTTCTGCTACTCAAATCAGGCGTTGATTCGGCTAAATCCTGTAACCATTTGCTAATCATTCCTCTTTTATTTCCCTTCTGCCGTCCGGTATATCGAGCTGATTGCAAAGCGGAACAATTGGTATCCAATGAAGTTGTCAATGGTTTACGGCCATTTAATGAGATAGGCTCTTTCGGAAGAGACCTTTCAGATGGTAAGAGTTTAAATGAAGTTTCAATGCTTGCTAACGACCGTTGTTCATATTGTGACGGAATGTAACCATTTTCAGTAGTTGAAATTTCATTTCGTAAAGCTGTACCTATTATACCACGATAGGTTGATCGAGGAGAGTTGTAATCAGATGTAAATTGAGCAGTTGCTTGTTTTGTAGCTTTATTTGCAGCATTAATTAAAATTGATTTTGATGGGAATTCTGGAATTGAATTTGTCCCATCGCTACTATCATATTTTTGTAAATCAGTTAATGCTGATGCTATAATACCGTGTTTTAGACGTGGTGAAATGATATCACCGTTCGGCTTTGCCATTAAAATGTGGAAAATTTTTAGCAAAATATAGAAAGCCAGAATAATTTTCTTTTTTCTTCTACAATCATATATACTTTTTAGAAAATCTGAAAATTGCTAACATTTTCGAATTTATATCGCGATCATTTTTTCATTGCAATCATATAAGCGATACGAATAATTGAAATGAGATAATCATGCGGTTTTCTTTTTTTTAAAATAAAATCATATAAATGGTTTATTGATTTAGGAAATGTTTTTCCTTAATATAATAAATTGTGTTGTATGAATACAAAGCAATCATATACTTTAAAAAAATCTTTTTTTTTAAATTTGGAATAATTCAAAATTTTCCTAAAGGCTACATTTAATTATTTCAAAATTCAGTGTCTAAATCTACTGAGTCAGATAAGAGGATATGAAATAGAGAAAATTATTTATGATATAAGTAAGCAATTACTATGCAAAATATATAATGGATAATTTGTCATGAGATGCCGGAAATGTTAGAAATGCAACAACAATACTTAGCAAACGTAATAGCAAAGAAAGTAATTCGAAGTAATTTATAGTTGAATTAAGTTTAAAAAGTAAATAGAGATTAAAGTAGCAAACAAGACATATGATGAAAATAATAAAATATTAAGGCGAAATATTTTCATTTGACAAAATAAATCAAAATTACAGCAGTATTATAACAGATATCTCAATCAAATCAACTTAATAGTGTTATTTTTAACAATAACAATTATATTAATAATTATTGTTTTATTACTAATATTATTAATGTGATAGGCTAAAAATGGCAGATGAATACTTCGAATAAAATATTCAAAACTTTTTAAATATTAAACATAAAATAATTTCTAATTTCTTATTATCAGATAAAATGATATAATTAATCAATAGGAACTAATAAAATTTAGCTAACGAAAATAATTCTAGCCAATGAAATTTTTTTACGGATCAAACTATAGTAACAATTATATCTGATGGTCTAAACTAAATTTCAATGCAACCAATCGAAAAATCTACTCACTTATAAAGTATAATTTTTATTCACTACTTTATTATGCATGCTTAAATAATCCAAACATTTTAATCATCATTATTTCAGTTTTAAAGTAAAAAAGATAAAATTTAATTCACAGACTCGCTCTTAGAATTTATTCATCCTTATAAGCCACATATTAACAATAATGACATAAAAGCAGAATCAATAAAAGACTTCGAAAAAAGAAATATGCATTACTTTTTGAGGTAGAATATAGCCAAGCAAATGTTCCGGTTCGAGAATTGCCCCAGAATATGTCGCCTACTTGCATTGTTTGGCCTTAAATCATAAGTGTCTAAGCTTTTATTTGTGTATACCTTAAAGTATGTTTATATGTTTACATGTATATGGGGAATACTTGAATATTTCGACAATTACGAGGAAGCGCTTATTTCCATCTATCTCCTTCTATGCAATACATTGTTCTCGGAAAGTTTTCATCACTAAACGAAACGCTGTAGAATTGCCGTGAATGAAAAATTATTTATTAAACGATTTAAATGTTCAATCAAACAGATATTCACTAGACGATTCAAGCAAACATTTTGTTTACTATTTCTCAGAAGAAAAAAATTTACTTATACCATCGAACATAAATCTTTTAAAAAATTTTATGGTTCTGAATTTCTCAAATCCAACACTACCACATCCTAGATCTTGACAATTTCTCTAATGGACATCGATTCTTTAAAATCTAAAAACATGAATCAGTTCTGAGAAAAAAAACTTTTATCACCGTTCAAATTAATATCACACTGAGAATATACAAATGGAAAACGAAATAGATCACATCGATTTTGATATCACTGATTAATAATATATCAAGTACAACTACTAATAATATCGAGTAACACTGAAATCTATGAAATTTAATGCATTTCAAACAGTATCTCAAAACAAGACTTTATGTAGAATGAAGCAATTGCAATGACAATTTCTTTGATGTAGCACTTTCCTAATTAAAGGAACAAATTCTACTTGGTTTAGCACTTTATATTTCCACTTCAAAAGATTATTCGCATAGATATGTGAAGGCTGTGTTAAAGTCAGTATCATATCTGTATGTGATATACATTCATAGATTTGACTTATTTAAATTAGTTGGTCAAACAACTAAATTTCACTGTAAATTTACTCAATGAAATGGAATGAGACGAGCACAAGCTCGCTAAAGAATACAGCCTATACATTCAATAACTTTGTTTTTCTGTCATCTATCTTATTCCGCCCTTCCTTTACTATTTACCCTTATCTTAATTGCTGTTACTTATTTTCATTAACAAAAGATCTTAGCCTAAATGGACTTCAAAAATTCAAATTTCAAATTTTACTTTCAAATTAAATTGGATTTAGAGCATTACCGAGATCAAATATCTTCGGAACATGCCTACAAGAAAACAATCAATAAAAGACACAAAGTAAAAAATATCATGTTTCATTACTGGAAGTATACATTATGTACATACAATGCCACAAAAATATGGCAACAGTACTTACTTTACAAATGCAATAGAAGAATTTTATGTTTTTCCTTTCTTATTTGCTAAAAATTAACGCACAAACGAGCTTGCAAATTCGAAAATTATATTTCTCTACTATCACTAAATTATTATCGAAGCAAAAAATCCATATTCCTCACTGCATTGCTTTAAAAAAGTTCGGTGCAATCAATAGCTTGAAATAAGTAACATTTTTTTCTTCACAAAACAATTAAAGCACAATACAACTGTTACTTCAGAATCATCACTGCTATGGATTCAAGGAATAAGGATGATGCTCGCCATGTTCGATGTATATTTGTACGATGCCGGAAGGTGCATTAAGTGCAGGTGTGCAGAACCTTAGTACCTTAGCCAGGAATACTAACTTAAAATAAGAAAAATATGGAAAGAGGCGAAAGAAAAAACGTTAGAAAGATATACTAATTACTGCAAATATATAAAAGTTCGCAAAATAGCAACAAACCCTTATTTGAGTAAAATAGTGAACAACATATGTTAAAAAGAAATAACAAGATATTAAAGATAATATACTTGAAAATAAACAAAAAATATAAGAGAAAAACTCATCGAAAAATCATGATATATAAATTATAAGGAATAAACTGCATATAATTGCAAGAAGAATAAGAACGGCTCAAAAGCACAACGTGAAAGAAGTCAGCGGACTCAAAAAAAAATAAAAAATATTGTTTTCATTAAAATTCAAATTTTTTTCCACTTTTATTTTTTTTTATTTTAAAAAAATATTGTTTTGATTAAATTCAATTTCGACTTTTATTTAAAAAGCTTGATTCAAACTGAAGCATGTATTTAGGTGGTATTTCCAAAACAAATTTCACCTAATTTACCGATGAGTGACGAATTCAACTTGCAAATATCGAATGACAACAAATTGTTGTCGGTAAACAACAAACCCGATGGCAAACTGGAACTGCATGATGTGGGCGTTAGCAAGGTATTAACAACTGCTAACATTTTATCTGGATCTTTCAGTGTCATTAATTTCTTTTGCAATCGAACTAGAAATTCAAAACCGTATTGCTTTTCGATCTAAAAATATTGAGCTTAATTAAAGTATCAATTATCTTATACATTTTCCATTTTCATAATTTACTGAAGTCTTCATAGATGCCCATTGGTAGCATTCGTTTTACGACTCTAATTTGTTAAACGACAAAAATAACTTAATAAAGTTGGGATAAAATGTAAAGTTATAGGAATGACGCTATCTGAAAATATCGCAAAAAAAAAATAAAAAAGTGTTAGATTTGTTGTAGAATCAAATAGGGAATTTTCTTGACCGAAGGATCGAAGCAAAAAATACTTCATCTTATAAATTTGTCTGTATTGTGTAGTATTCTAACTACGAAAGAGAAGATGCAGGGTAAATTATTGCACCCATTCTAACAGACTGATAATGGTACTTACTACAAAATACAGACAAATTTATACGATGAAGAACTTTTGCTTCGATCCTTTGGTCAAAAAAATTCCCTATTTGATTCTACAACAAATCTAACACTTTTTTACCGTCTTACATTGCCTATATATCACAACAGCTTATATATAAAAACTTCAGAAGATTTTAAAATTCAAAAAACCATAGAAAATAATCAGTAAGGAGAGATTTTAGAGAGCAACTGTTCCGTAAATAACTTTGTCACCATCCAGTATAAAAGTACCAATCACTGCTCATGACGAAACAGATCAATAATTTTGTCATCAGAAATTATGTAACTGCAAAGTGGCAAAACTCCTTTAAATAATGGAAGATATCGCTAAAACTACTAATGCAGAAGCAAAACCTCAGGCAGAGCACTTGTAACTTAGTTCACAGCAAATTTTTATATATAAAAATAATACCATGCAATCGCTTTCAAGCGTTGAAGTCATTGAAACGGTGCTTTCCGTACTGAACGTTGTAATTTTTGAAGTTTCCGAATCCGAACAATTTGATTCGGTTGATGTTGATGGTTCCGAACTTGTCGTCTCCGTTTGCTTCATTTCTGGTAGGTCATTTGTTTTTGGTTCATTATTCGATATTTTAATTTCTGCGGGAACTATTGATTTAGGAATATTTGCGATATTTTCAGATGAAGCGGACTAAAAGAATAATCATCTCATAAACATCTTTTTTTGCCTATAAGAATTTCAAGTGATTTTGAAAATAGACAAAAACCAAACATGTTCCGCCTAAATAAAATTCCTCCGAATCCCTCCCGCTCTACTGCTATGACCAATCGTCTCGTAATAAAAACAATGTTCTACAACTTATTGATCCTTAAAGAAGCAGGCTTAAGTGCAGCAATGATTATCCGACTCAGAATCTAACAATAACAAATCTAAATACTCACTCTAGAATTCTTTTGCTTTTTTTCACCATCAACAAGAGCGCGCGGGATTTTTAATTTACTTAAAGGTGGATTGCTTCCAGAACGGCTTTTTTCTTTCTCTTTTTCCCTTTTTGGAGCCGGCTCCTCGGAAGAACTTGTTGTCCCTTTTCGTAATCGATGCTTTTCCTTTCGTTTGTCGGAATCCTTTTTAGCTCCACCATATTTTAAAATTAGTTCCCGAAACGATGACGATGGCTGCTTCATTTCGATAGTCTGCGTAATGAATTGTTCGTTATATTTCTCTGCAAAAACAAATTTTTTTGGAGAATTCTATGCAGAATTCTACAGTTACTAAAAATGAAATAATATAATTTATCCGAAGTTTCGATTTAATTTTTCGATAAAAATAAAAATTGAAATCGACAAATAACGTGTACCTAATACGAGATTCATGTCATACGTTAGCTTGTAGACTTTGCTTGCGCCTGTAAAAGTGATGTGAATTGGAATTGAAAATCCGCCATAACCCAGTTCACTCACTTCAAAAGGAGGTTCTTTTACAACTCGTCGTGGAGACGAAAAATCGGGATGCAGTTCAAAGACAACCTAAAAATATTAATTGTTTAAAAAACTTGGTGATACATCAAACGATTAATTTCGAACTTTGGAAAATCCCCAGATATTCGGATTCCTGAAATGCACTTATGACAAGATAAATTTCCATGATGGTAATAAAAATTTCTGAGTTTTTAACAGTCTGCCACAATAAATTCTTTCTTCCAGATTTGAAACGTGAAGTCTCGACGCAAATGTTAAAAAACTTTTTTTCTACAGTGTCGCCGCTATAACATGTGTAAAAATTTCCACACAGCAGCAAATTCAACCTTTGAAATAAAACTGCGGTCTGTAAATGGCATTCCACTGAAAGAATGTACAAACACTGTCCATCGATGAGTCATGCCAGTCAACGTAGGACGATCAAGCATTTCGGATCTGAAACCATTTTTGGTGAAGGAATGCATAAAGATTCTCAAACAATGGATCAAAAATATGTTAAATGATAACTGTTTCAATCATTCAAATTCACTCTTCAGAACAGTGTTTATAAATGATACTACACAGGTGAGAATTCACAGCTCAACCCAAAAGCGAAAGTAAATGAAAAGGCAATCAACTTTTATCTATCAGATTCAATTTTTTTGACTGATAAGCGCTTTAGTGAATAACCGAGTCATTTGAGGTGGTATGTTTTACTTCATATCTCAAAACTGCCGCTTTATAAAAGTTCTTTATAACACATATAAAACAGTCGCTGTTCCAAAAATTAGCACAGAGATAAGTTATGTCGCTAAAGAGAAATAGTACAATTATTCCCTTAGAGAATTCCCGTAAAAAACACTCACATTTTTCAATGAAGTAACGGAATTAAATAGTCATGAAGTATTCAAACCTTGATGATTAAAGTAATGCTACCAGTACCATCTTAATCTTATTTATTTCTTAAAACTTAACTTTCCGAAAATTTGAAAAAATCCACAGTTTTCATACAAATACAAACTTACTTATGTCCGATCCGTAAACGAACAAAATATTTCGTGTCGTTACTCATTTTTCGTTGACCCGGTTGGATCGAAAGACGAAAATAAATATTTTAGAACCTATAAATGATCTGCTGATTATTTCACAAGCCAGAAATTTTTGAAAAAAAAGCTATGGGTATTCCAGCAAATTGGAAAAAGTAGAAAACCACTCATTTCTAGTACGAAATCTAAAATGATGATTCTTCCATATTCTCTGCTTTAATAAGAATAACAAGACTAATAGAAAATTATTCTGTTCCAAAATGTCTACCGTAATAGCTTATCAACAAATAGGCAAGTTATTTGTTAACGGCTAGATAAAGCAATTATGAAACAAAACACAGGTCTCCATAAAGATAGCTAAGAAAAGCTTTTGACAATTTTTGCTTAGTGATCGGTGAGGTTCAATCAATCAAACCATTAAGTATATCCAACTATCTTCTTTTACATCAAATCGAAAATCTTATCACTATTACTCGTATTATTATGAGTAATCACAATTCCCATTCGTAGCTGTCTTTTTATAGAGAGCCAAAAAATTCAAAATATTTTTGATAGCTTAATAAAAAGAAAAAAGTTCAAAAATTAAAACTGTAAAAAACACTACCAAAGAGGAAGGGCGAAAACACAAACAAAAACTGTAAGAGATAACAGATGTTGCTGGAAATAGTTACTTAGGAAGAATATACGTGCCAGAAATATTTAAATAATTTCATTTTGCAAAAATAATGAAAAGTGAGAGAAGAGAAAAAGAAAAAAGCATTGCTGTAAGCGGAGAGAAAGAGCGCAGGATAGCAAGTCGAATCGACTAATAACTGTAAATGACATCAAAAGCAGACAATCTTCCACCCTCCCTACACCTGCACTCATTAATTATCGACCACCCATCAGGTAGAGAAGTTCGAATTCAGAGAAATTCTAATAAATATGCGGCAAATATGCGAAACTGTTAAATCCGTTCCATGTTCAAATTTAGAAAAGAATAGATAGAATGATAATTGAATTCCATATAATTATCTTCAAAATGGTAATTGAATGATTGGTAAGATGATTAAACAAGCCGAAAGGATTAGTCAAAAGGTAACTAATAAACGGATACGTTGCTCTATTATCTTTAAATCACTACTTTTCCCGATGAGAAGGAAGTCCATGTGCCCATCTTATTTTTCTTGAATTCTTGCATTATGAGAATCCTATCGATGTTCATATTTTTCAAAAGAAGGAAGGAAAATCTCTTCTGAAGTACTTTTTCTTCTGATTTTTTATTATTTTATTCTGCATTACAAAATAAAAAGTTATTTTCTCTTACCTAGAAATAATTATTTCACTTCATTCCCAGTTGTCTCATACCTTTCTCCTTTTTCACACCTATCATAAGCACCAGGGTTTATTCTCAAATAAATTTTTATTATTTTATTCTGCATTACATTCCACAAAATTATTTGTAACATGTACAATTTTAAATCTTCAATTTTACAGTTCCAAATTTGAAATACAATCTTACTTAATGGCATGTATATATGCAAGAAGCAAATAAAGGAATGGGAAGAAATTGTCGATATTATAAAAACTTCTTAACTTTTTTAAGCAAAACAAGATGGGGTAAGATTTCTTCACGTAAAGCATCAAATGGCTAAAAATGGCTAAAAATTGTCACATATCAAAGCGCATATTAATATTTTCCAAAAACACCATTCCTCGGAGACTCACCATACCATCTCATTAATACATATATTCAAACAACATTGGAATGAAAAAAAGTGGATTGCAAAAATTTTTTTTCTGGAAACGAAAAATTTTGATGTGTTTACATTTTTCAATTGCGTCAATAGAATTCATTAAGACATAGTAAATTACTAATCGACTTCCAAAAAATTTTAGAGAAAATTTGTTAGAGGTACTTCCAAAATTTAGACCTTCCATAAAATTTAACTTTCAATATTCAAAATAAATATTTATTAAAGAAAAATTACTTGTTGTGACTTTTTTTTGTAAAAATCCTTTTTGAGAGAGAGCATTTTATGTGGCACAGTTGAACTGTTTAGCACTTGATGGAGAGTTTTATTTCTTTTTAATGTTATAATAAAATTATCAGAAGTTATCAATAGAAATGATCACTCGGTGTCCTTCTTTATCGTTGATCCGGGGGAACAATTTGCTGAGATAGTGATTCAAAAGTGTGTAGGTGACAACAGTTCTTTGTTTCGGGGCAGTAAATTACACTGAGTTGAGCGATGCTCGGTGAGCACTGTTTATAGTAAAATATACAATTGATCAATTTGATAGATATCGGATCATCCGGTCATCTGACAGAAGAAATCAATGATAAAATTCGTTTCGACGCATTTTAATTTAACAAACAACCCGAACTTTTTCACAATCCAACGATTATGTAAATTTTACATATAACAATCGGTTGGAATCGTGTATAATTTCTTGAAATCTTGATCATTATATTTTATCCGAGGCATGATCCTTAGTGCAGTAAGATGGAAATACTTCAGCGCATAAAGATTGCGTCAAATTATTTTTAATTTAAATCATCAAATTACGAGTTTCAGGAATAAAATTTAAATAACTGATATAATCAATTTTGATATTTTTTGAATTTCAATAGAACATCAGTGACTGATTAATAATGATTAATTAAATGATTAATTAATAATAGTTAACAAACTTTACTTATCTGAGACTTTTTCTAAAAATTATCCTAAAGACTTAATAAGGCATATCTTGCATATAGCAATCATTTGCTTTAAGTAAAGTTGTCGAAGTAAAAAAAAAATATCAATTTTGAAACGTATGAAATAATTGATATGATCATACTTCACAAACGCAGAAATATAGAATTCAACAACCTTTCTCTAAACTTTTTGTAAGTAGTGAAATGGATGATGGAAAATACCATAAACTAGTTTTGTGTGTTTAAAAATTTGCTGCTTATGCAATGAATTTTCATAAGAAACTATCAATTCAAATTAAAACTAAGCTATTCAGATTTCGAAAACAGAAAATTGAGAAAACTGAAATAACTTTAGCAAAAATTCACAGGATCAAATCAAATTGGATTAAGATTTAGATAAAATTATATAACAAGTTAGAAATTGTTTTAATTATAAAAAAGGTACTAAGAAAAAATCATCCACCGACCAAGTGCATTAACACTGCATGTTTATAAAGAGTTTCTTCATCCGATTATTGCCATTTCTCACTTTTAAATACATAACTATAGAAAGGCCTTACACCTATACTAAAGCCTATTCATTTAAAATTAATGGAATGTTAGCTACAAGAAACAAGAATATTTTGAATTTTAATGCTAAAATTAATCTCTGTCGTTCATTATATCAATCATTTATGTATTAAAAAGTACATAAAGCGAAAAAATATCTCAACTATCCCATGACATAACTTCTGCAAAGTATTTGACATGTTTAAAATGTTATCAAGGTAAAAATAATTAGTTGTAGAGTTCATACAACCACTCACCAAACTTTCTAATATCAATCAGAAATCCCGGAATTTTTCTTGAATTTAGATTATTTTAAAGAAGTAGAAATGAGAAATGGTGTCCCATTCAAAAGTAATTTGAATTTTCCTCGAATTCTTTAAAAATCCACAAATTGAAAAATACTGAAATGCATAAAAAGCATGGAGTAAAAGATAAAACAAAGTAAATTGAAAATTAAAAGTTAATGAAAGCCAGTAATGAGGAGCATCGAAAATTTCGAATTTAAATCAATTTTTGTAATTCGCTATATAAAATATGAGTTATGCAACGGATTCGGTTCTCTATTTTCCCATTTTCACGAATACCAAAAGCAAGTACGTTGTTTCGGTCTTTCCCTCTGATCTGCATAAAACACTGGATTGTTCGCCTTGTTCCTTTTCCTTTTTTTCCATATCTTTTGTTCTCTTCCTCGAAGAATCGTTAATAAGGAGATATGCGATTCTTGAAACAGAAAAATGATTTTAGGAAAACATTATTAATCAAGTTTCAAGGTAGAACAAAGTTCTGATTATTCAAAATTGACAGAAAATCTAAAATTTTTTCGATTTAAAGAAATAGAAAAATTACATCAGAAAATGAATAGCTAATGATAACAATGATTGAAATGGTCTCCTTTTTCAGAATCGCTCCCAGCTTCATCGTTCATTCTTCTTTTTTCCTGCGATGTAATTTTCTGTGCATTATTTGGATCCTTTTTTCTATCTGCAAAACAATTTTTATCCCAGAATCTTTTTTCCTGATTAATGTTAAGTACTTGCTCAAAACATATGTATCTTTGATGTCAACCAATATTCACTGTTAATTTATTAACTGACTCCTGTTCCAGCATTTATTATTTCTTTTGATACTGGAAAATATATTTTTTCGCATCCACAAAAACGGTTAAAACCAAATAAAAAATGAAACCCATTTAGTTAAATAAAGTAAATCATATTTTAGGCTAATTCTATCAAGCAAACTTCAATCCTCTACAAAAATTATTCACGAATTTTAAATTTGAAATTCATGAAACTTGAAAAATTTTCAAAAACTTAAGAGAGATAGTGCTGCTGGTTGCATTGTTCGATCTTCTGTTAAAGTAGTAGATGTAAGTATGAATGCCTTTGGAAACAAGAATTCGATTGATAAGCCGTTCGATTGCATACCAACTAATATTTCGCTTATCATAACCAATTCGTGGCATATGAACACTTAAAGTGTTCGAGTTCACCGCATAAAATGCAAGCTTTTTGAAACATTTCGCCAAAATATCTTGGTCAATTATATCTATAAATTAGTTCATGATTAACAAAAAGGTTTAAGGAAGTAAAGAAGAAAGAATTACATATTCCAATATTCCAATAGTAAACAAAGGCAGTCATATCTTCTAAAATTTCATAGATGAATAAAAACTTTCAAGAAGTGCATTTCGATAAGAACTGCACTTTAGATTCTCAAAAATATTAAACTGAACAAAATGTTAAAACCACTGCAAAACAAACCTCTTTTAAGACGATGTTGTGCTACTAATAGGACCACGGAAACCTTTATCCTAGGAAGAAAAGCTTCAGATATCGATTGGTTAGTTTCATCAATATCGTTATTATCCCTTAATCCTTCACCTGAAAAAGAAAACTGAATACTTTATAGCAAAACTAATATGAAATGTTTAAATTTAAAATAACATGATAAAAATCGTCTATCTGGATGGAAAGATTTAACAAATTAAAATCCTTGATAACCATTTGACCAGCACTATAAGAAAACCCAAACTGAAATCGGTAAGAGCCGCTGTCTACTGAGAAAAGATTCTTAAATGCAACAAAATCCAGAATCAGTTACTTACTCCACTTTTTAAACTGATAATTCTGCATAATATACCATCCAATTATATAATTTTTATACAGAAATAATTCAAAAGTATGTCTCGCTAATGAAAACTAAATTAAACAATTAACTACAATAGAAATTTAAAGTTAACTAACAAAAACCAACAAAGATTATTTACTATTAACAACGGGAATCTCTCTTCGCGAAAGATGCGGCATTAAAAGGAAAAAGCGGATAAAATAAAGATGAGAAATAAAGATTATTTCTTATTCACCCGCTCATTCATGTACTTACTATTTAAGGTCAAAGATAAATATAAATAAAGAAGAGTAAGTGATCAGAAAATACATATCTCGTTTGGAAAGGGTTGTGGGCAATTCATCCGCAATATCTTCAATAAGATGTGCATCACCAAGATGCAAATCACCCATTTTGCCTGCTAATTCGTACGTGTCCATTATTTGTTGACTCTTTTTCCTGAGAGCATCGAAAACACCTCCACGACCAAACAAGCCTGAAAATCAAGATAATAAATTGTAAGAAAGTAGAAACAACGGAAACTATTTAAAGTAACTTAAAAACCCTGGGTTTGAATTATGACGCAAAAAAAATTAGAGAAATTACCACTGTTATCCACAACATGAACGATAAGCGCACGATCTGAATTGTCACTGGAAGTTTTTAGTATGTCCGTAACACTGCCATAGACGAAATGAGGTCCAAAATCTATGCTACAGTCGCCATGCTGAACTTCATGCATTTCTCGAAAAGGTAAAGAGCCACTTTTGTAATCTAAATTTCAAGAAACAAATTTTCGCAAGTAATTTTGTAAAAATTGACTGTAAAATTATTAGTTGGAATGAAATTGTCACTTATTATGCACATCATTCTCGAAAATGATGCAGTTGTGCGACCCTGAATGCCATCCAATATATTATGTTAGCCTTGCTATGGATGTAAACGAATATGGGTTGCTACATCATAAAAACATTCAAGAAAAAACGATCGCTGAAGACTTACTATTTTCTAGCCATTTCATGGCCTTTCTCATTTCTCGTTCCTTTTTTTTCCTTTCAATTTCCACTTCCCTCAACTTTTTCTTCTGCTCTAATGTTTCTTTTCGTTTTTTGATTCTGTTCTCCATTTCTTCTTTCGATATTGGTCTACGTCTTCGCCTTTCGACTGGCACAGCTAACAAATGATTTATAAAAAGGTATGAATAAATAAACCAAACTCTCACTTGCTGAACCGATATTAGTTCCTCAATAAATATGTACAAAATATAGCACAGTTGTGTAGCAGGCACGGTTAACAAGATTTTTAGAATGTTTAGACACCCAATATATTGACAGTGCCATTGTCAATGGTTCATCCACTGTAATTCTAAGCAGGTTCGAAGCCTTACTGTAGCAACTAAAGAGTAATTCCCTAAATTATTATACAGTTCCGCAAATAACAGCTATAAATAAAACATAGTATTTCCATTACCTTATCTACCTAGAATCATATTGCTCAGCAAACAGAACATGTGAAAGAAATAGCGGAAATAAAAAAAGAACCTTACAATGATCCTACTATCAACCACAAGGCTATCAGTTTAGATTACCATGCTAAAAATTTGCAAATTTTCAGACACTTACTCTGCCTCACCGAAATATTTCCAACCGGTTCCACGGCTTTAAATTCATTTAAAATATTCTGCAGAACTGTAACATCCTGTTTATAATCGTGTCCTTCGAAGATATACATATTTTCCAGCATGCCACTTTCTTCCTTGTTAGACTTTGGTTGTTTAGAACTCTAAAAGCTGTCTTTAAAGCTTAAAAATGAATCAAATCGAATTCTCCGAAAATCTTGCTTTTGAGAAATTTAGTACTCATACAGAATGGAAGTCATCTTTGTGTATCAGAAGAGACTAACATTATGCGACAACTCCCATAATAATATAATTTACGAGGCACTGCATCATGATCTCTATTGTAAATTCTCTACCTTTCACTATTTTTCTATTTGATACTAACCACAACTTGTTTTTCTCCACCATGAATCCAATGACCATTTTCATCCGTTCTACCGACTAATTTTTCAATTTCTTCCATATTTAATTCTTCAGAACCAATTTTATCGTTACTCAACCGATTCAAGCCTTTTATTATCAAATCAGAAATTTCCGCAAATGTTAATTCTTTTCCTGAACAAGAGTCTGTGAGTCCATTCTAACAATTTAAAATATTTTACATTTTCGTCACGATTTAATTGCACTGAAATTAAACTTTACAGAAATTGTCACTTACCTGCATCATTGTTTTCCTCCAAAATCTCTCGGGTCATTTGAAGTTTCCGAGCTGCACGACACTGTATCATATCTTCCACCGTGTAACGCGAAACCAAACGTATTATTTTCACAGGCCTTGAAGGTGAATATCAAGAATATAATTTTGAATAAAAAGAAGGAAGGAATTTTTTTTAAGATAAAGGACTGTGATATTTCTACCAATTAATCAAAAAGAAAAGTGTAACAAAAAAAAACAATTTCTAATAAAAATAAGTTCAATCAAAATTAACGCTCAATTTGGGGAATTTTTGGTATCTTGAACATTTTCAAAAGCAAACTTCGTCTGCCCAATTCGGTGACACCTTGCCGCAGCCTGAATATCACTTTGCGGATTGAAATCCGAATCCAGAAAAATCACTGTATCACCAGCGGTTAAATTCAATCCGAGGCCTCCAGCTCGAGTTGACAATAGAAAACAAAATATGTCTGAATTTGTCTGAAAGCGATTTACTGCGGCGAATCGCTCTTCAGCTCGTACACATCCATCCAAACGTCGATAATTGTATCCTATCAAAAAAAGATTAAAGAGACTTTTTGAAAACTGTTTTTAAAAACTGCATGTAATGAAATTAACTAAACGGTCCATAAGTACCACAATTAAGTTTTTTGCAAACAAAAACAGAATTATAAGAATTTACTTCTCATCCTTAATTCTTTACACTAAATTTGTCTTTCAGAATTCTCAACCCAACCTTGTTCGATGATTGCAAAAATCCACGTTACCTTTATAAACCAAATAATCCTGGACAATATCAAGCACACGAGTCATTTGCGAAAAAATAAGTACACGATGATTCTTTGCCGACAGAAATGTGAGCACTCGATCCAAAAGAAGGAATTTTCCGCTTACTTCAAATAAATGATCACCTTCTTTGAATGGTTCCGATTCTACACCTGCAAAATGAATCATCTACAGATTATTTGCACTGTAAAAATACATCAGGAGGAACTGTAGTCTATGGCATAAATTATATTAATTATGTGGGGCTGATAAAACTATTTCCGTGGTGGTTGTAACAGATTAAAAAAAATTTGTAGATGAATCGTAAAAAACTTCACTAGTTTACGTTATTTCGAAATCGAATTACCATTTTTTGACAAATTATTGCGTTACTAATAGATTGAAAATTAAAAATTACCATCAAAAAGATAAGGATGTGCGACACATTTTCGTAACTGCATCAATACATTAAGTAATGACATTCTGTTGCCGGCGTTCTGAGTCTTACCGTCTACATTCTCAAAGTATTCTAAAAACGAAATATTATACCAATTATACTTTAGCCAAAAGCTAATACTCTCTTTCAAGTTTGAAGCAAGTAATATAAAAGAAACTTCGCAAATTAAGAAATCTAAATTTTGATTTTTTTTTGATTGCTTTCGTCATATGCATGAATGAAAGAGAATCTAAATGGGTATAACCGTGTAAATAAATCAGATATATGCAATTGTTCAATAGTGACATAAGCAGTGAACTAATAACACAAACAATCTCAGCTGGTAACAAGATTTTAGTTCACCATCTGAGGAAGAAATGAAACTAATGAATACGTTAAGCTTTTACCATCGAACTTATAAGAAAATTAACGTACTATAATTTTTACTCAGTATTGCACGATACATGTTCTTCTGCATTTCAGTTAGTCCATGGTATATTACAACTTCTGAACTGTCCGGAATATTGATATGCAAGATCTGCTTTGTTCGACGAATAAGATATTTCGAAAGCACATACTGAAGCTCCGTAGCAGCTATAACAAAAATTCGTGCAGTTTGAATAACAATTTGAATTCATTTCTTATTTTGAATACTAAAAGTTAGAAAGCTTTGATAATTACGTGAAGAACAGATTTAATGTGATGTACACATTTAAAACAAGAGACTGTTTTATCTTAATACATACCAATGATAGGTAACGAGGTGCGTTACGAAAGAAAACACCAAACTATAACAAAGACAAAAAATTTAACAGGGAAATATCAATGGAAATTTTATAAACAAAGTAAGTTAGTAATGACAATCTCGAAACCTTTATTTAGATGAGATTTCAAAATGAAACTCTCCTTTTAATAACATTTTCTACCAAAACTCCCCGCTTAACAAGCTATTTGGAAAGTTCCAAAATTTTGAACATTTTTTCAAAAGTATTTTATTTAAAATTCGTTACTGTCACGTGTGTTCCGATATTTCGCAACAAACTGCTCTTCACCAAGAAGCAAAAACCTGTTCGCATCAATCAAGGTGAGTAATGAATAAAGTTCATTAATATTATTTTGTATAGGTGTTCCGGTCATCAACACCACGAATTCCACAGACATCTAAAAAAAGCTGTTAAATCAGTCTTTTAGTTTTATTAAAAATGTATTGAGAGAGAAAGAAATTCAAACCTTGCGAACAATTTGATGGAGAACAGATTTGCTTGACTTTAAACGATGCGCTTCATCGATAAATAATGAAGACCATGTCCACCGGAAATAGTGCTCATCACTTATCGTCGTCTATGAAAATCTATTTTCGTCAAATAAAATTCGCATAAAAGAACATTTTTCAATCTTTCTTGGTACAACACTATATTAAATGCATACCTCATAGGTTGTAAGTAAAATATTCCAATCTTTGGAAATTTGCAACTTTTCCCGAATCACTCTTCTTGCATCAGCACTTCCAATATATGTTACAACTCGAAGCTTTCCAAAGCCAAATCTGCAATTTCCATTGCTTAAATTAATTTTGCAACTTTCGCAGTCTGTAAGAACATTTACTTTTTTTACGGACTTCTAGCAAAAAAGTCTTTAATGCCAAAATCATCTGTTATTTAGTAACATTAATTTAAACTGATGTCATATTTATCCATTAGGGAATTCCACCTTCATTGCTCCTTGTTGAATTAATACACAGAAACGCTCAGCCAAAACTTGCAGACTTTGAAATAGATTTTAATTTGTTGCAAAGAATAATATTTTAAAAAGTGTATATTAAGCTGCATAGATAAATATGAAACAATAATTTGAATATCAAAAATTAACCTGAACAGTTCATACTGCCAATGTTGGAGGACCGAAAGAGGACAAATAATCATATGCCGTCCTTCTTTGTTATCGTTTAGTAAGCAAACGATAGTGCCAACTGCTTGACAGGTTTTACCCAAACCCATTTCATCCGCAAGAATTCCACCATGTTTCTCACTGTACCATTGAAGCATGCGCTTTATACCAAGAATTTGATGTTCATGCAAATTAAGCCCTTAAACAATACAACAAATAATTCGTTGTGAATCTGCAGACTAAAATATATCCAATTTTGTATGACTCCCACTTTGGCAGATATAAATATTTAGATTAGAACATCTAAACATAATGATAATTCATAGTATAAGTAATTCAAATAAACTTTTACCACTATTTAAAAGAATTAAAGGATGAGTAATTAAATGTAAGAAATAATAACCATTAATGGGACAAGTGGAAATGAAGTTTCTAATTTCAACTTTTAAGCTTCAAGAAAAAATTTGTGATCATCGACGTTGTAAATTAAATGGGACTTCAACGTAAATGAATTCAATGCAGCTCTAATATTTTAAAAATATTTGTGTCTTTTATGTGGATAAAATGTACCAAATCATGCAGTACCTAATTCCGATTTTTTTAATTCTGTCGCATAATTATCGGCCATTTTTCCGAGTCTTTTTCAACTTTCACCGTAGTCGTGCTCTGAATGAACTGTAAATTTCACCAAATAAGCAAACCAAATGTCCGCCAAACCCTTTGAAAACCGCTGTCTTCAATTCTCGTCTTCCGTTCCCGTATTGTTTCACCTGACACAAAGGACTTATACGGCCGTGCGTTATATCCAAACGTCTCATTTAACAACATAAGTTCGCTGCTTCTTTTACCTTCTTTCCAACCAGAGAAACCGTGGGCCTTGACCTTTCGTAACAGATGCGACACAAAGGTTTGTCAGCTATCGTAATAAGGACCTATTCTATCTTACGTTTTCTGAGGAAAGTTGCGGAGATACTTTCAGGAATAATATTATATGAACATTCTGCGATATAAGAATATCTGTATGTGCCTATCAATGATATTTCTGAAAAAGCAATTAACAAAAAATTTTTTGATAATGCAGTAAGACAAGAAATGATAAATAATCGAAGAAGTGAATTATTTGAATATACCAGTTCTTTCACTATCTCTATATTCTGTACCATTATTGACAGTCTACCATTTATGTTTCATCGAATACTTTTTGGCTCTCGGAAATATTTTCAAAAAAAAAAAAGATGAATGGTTCTTCCTGAAGGAAATCTGTACCTCCTACTTCTACAATATTTTCTTGAAATTACATTTATACAAACAGTAACAAATCAGACATATCATCACGATATATGTATATTTTAAATTTCTAGCAGGTACGAATCTTCAAGCTACCTGTAAAATAGCTTTCTCACAAAGTTACTGTAATGCATACCTCTATTACCAAATGAGGAATGTTCAAATACCGTTCAAGAATTTGAGGGAATGAAGTCGGACAGATTAAGAAAATGCGCTTTTCATGAATCTATTTTTGAAGTATACGAAAGAAGCTCATCTATATTTTCATCACTTTTTACTTTGGTTTGATTTTCCAACTGACCTGTTGGATAAATTGTATTATTATGAATAATGAGTAGTTAACTTTTTTGCTTGTTTATTATTTTTCGTCCTATTATATTGTCAGTAAACATTTTGTTTATTGCTTCTTTAGAGATATCATTGATGGGTATATACAGAATTTATTTATTGTTCCTATAATATTTATTGAAGTTCATATAATATTTATTATATTTATATATTGTTCAGCTTGTTCATATAATATTACTATCTCTCCGCAACTTTCTTCAGAAAAAATAAGATGTATTACGGTAAGTGACAAATCTTCGAAAGGTCACGGCCACAATTTCTTTGGCCGGAAAGAAGATAGAAAGTATGTTTAAACATATAACATTACGGAAACGGAAGAGTGGAATTGAAGACAGTTATTCCCGGGGAAGATTTGGCTAACATCAGATTTGAGGTATTTGACTAAATTTACAATTCGTTCAGAGTGACGCATCGATTGCGTGCTATACGATGGAATTTATAAAGGGCTTAAAAAAATAACCAAAAAATATTCGACAAAATTAGAAAAATCGAAATTAGCTACTGAATTAATTGATTTGCTCCATCTTTACAAATGACAGAAATGATTTCAAAATAAAGTTATTATGACTATTGAATTTGTTTACATTAAGTGTATTTAATTTCAGCATGGATGCATTTTTTTACAACATGATTGCAAGCTTTACTTCGCAGTCTAAAAAATTGAAAATCAAAAATTCCATTTCCAATTATTCATTAACTGTTACTATTTTATGCATTTAATTATTTCTTCTTTCAATTTTTTTTTTAAATTTCCAACAAAGGTTCAATTATTTGTGATATTTTCATTGAGTATGTTGAAGTTGATAAAACGAGCTGCTCCATATGAAATTAGAAAAATTGCGGAAATATTTTTAGTACACTTTTCAAATGATGTCATCACTGATTTTATTTCATATATCATTCAATGATTAGCATCAAAGAAAGATTTAATACATTTCTTCGGAGATAATTGCATAAGTAAACAATGAAAAAATTATTTGCATAAGTAAGCAACGAAAAAAATTTTTTTCTTTTTATAATTTTGCTCATTCATCCATACGATGGTTTGATTTAAAGTTATTAAATAATTAAAAAAATTAGATGATATTCCTGTCATTCAATATAATCAAGTTTTTTGTTTAATTTTTTATTTCAACTTTGAAACACTTCAATGCTTTATAATTAATTTTTCGCCAATAATTTGCAGAAATACCTATAAATAATGTTGCCTTTTCCATCAAATTGTATTTTGTTCATTCCGTTCAATCTTTTTCTCTTCAACATTTTGCCAATAAACTATTACATCTTTCCTATCATTAATTTCAATTCTAGAAATGAAGTAAACAGGTTTCGGACGATGTACAAATTGTGTAAGGAAAGGTGAATTTTGAACAAAAATACCATTCATGAATACGTTAACTTTTTACAATTTTGCTGTTCTGATTTGAAAAAATATTTCAAAATTATGACAGCACCAAAAATTAGCACTTAATTTTTTTACAACGATTATTCGCCGTTTTAAATATGGATGAATCTTTACATTTTCTCTCCTCCAATTCTCATTGCTCGATCCCAAATCTTCCGATTAAAATGATGATGATGATGATAGTTTCGAAAAAGTTGTATTAAAATTGTCGAATTGTTTTTTTAACACTTATTAAACTCTGCTGTATTTTACTTTATAGCATTCTGAAATAATAAAAAAAAGATGATAGGATTAACGATACGGTACTATTCTTCATTAACTTCAAAATAACTAAGTGATATGCTTAGTTATGCTAAGGTAAATGAAGAAATAATATACTTAGTTATGTTAAGGTAAATGAAGATAATTGCAAAACTTCACTTATACATTTAATTGTTAATTTATTTTATAAGCAATAGTTAAAAATAAATTAACAGTTAAATGTATAAATGAAGTTAATCGGGATGAAATATGTCTTCCATATGTTTCAACATTCTTTTCATACATAAAGAAGATAAAATGTTTGGAAAAAATAGCATTCAGATGAATTTAAGCAAAAATTTTTGAAAAAGCTTTTAAATCAATTTGAACAAGAATCTTTTTAAAAAAAGAGCCTTTAGATGAATTTAAACAAAAATTTTTGGAAAAGAAAATAACTTTTACACAAAGACAGCAATCATTAGATGCTATCAGTGAGGGATAGAAATGAGCATTGATATTTTTTTTTAATTTTTGAAAAAAGTTATGGATGAAATAATTATAAATAAACTAGCGTTAATGTTTTGATATTCGAGCATTTATAACCCTTCTTTTTATTTTTTTGAGTATTTTATAAAATATTAAAATCAACTAATTATCAAATGAGACATTTTGAATTGATAGGTCAACAAAGGTATATTTATTACCATTTATCGCATATCTACCAAATTACAAGTAACAAGATCGGAAAAAGGTCAATATGAAAAAAAAAGCTAAGCAAATAAGAAAACTCCTCAGTGAACTGAGTGCTTATTGTTATAATAAAAGTAATATTAAACAATGGAATGTGCACTTTCAATATTTTTTGTTTATTATTTGTCAATCATTTTAATAATTAATAGAAAATCGATGGCAGTCTAAGTAATTAATTAATCAGTTATCAACATCTTATTGGCTTCTGTTATATATTTACAGGATATATTTTTGCTTATCTAATTTATTCTATCAGTAATATAACAATTATTTCTCTCCTTTCATTATGAATGTACATGAAATATGACTTCGAATAAAAAAAACAAAAGTATTCTTCACTCTTTGCCGATTGTTCAAATTTAAAAAATTTTCTACTCCATTTTTGGATTTTGCATGTGGTAGGAAGAAAAAAGCAAAAATAATGAAGAAAATTCGTCCATTTATTACATACATTTTAAATTATTGAAAGCCTTCAATGTTGTTAAGCTTTTTAAAGCTATACTAATATTTCGGAAGCACCTAAATTTTAACAAACTTCTTAAATAGTAATTTTTTTCAACTTTTTCTTTATTTTTTTACTGTGTAGTGTAGAACATTAGTACGATTAAAATTATGGTATCGTAATTTTTTACTTCGAAAACTTCGAAAACTCGCACCGCGATTTTTTCTCTTTTATTAATTATTTTTCCCAGAAAAAGATTTTAGATCGCGCTTTTTGAGATTGTTTTTTTTAATAGGAAAATAAATCTTGTAAATAGTACAGTAGTATTTCCAAATTTTGCCATCATTAGTCATTTTTAGTTTAATTTCAACTACTGATTGGAGCTGGAAACGAATTATGCAAGGAGAAAAAGCGCAACATTTCAACTTCATTAAATTCATTAATCACTAATTTTTTTTCTTCGACTACAAATTGTATAATTTAAAGAAAAACTTTTTTCAAATAGTTTTTTAAACTGAAATTTTCTTCTAATTATATTAATGTAATTATCATTAAATTTTTAACATTTTCATATTTTTGACGCTTCCATTATTTTCACGTTTGATGATTGCTTTTTCTTTCTGAAATTTTTAGTTGTACGAAGAAAAAATTCCTCCAAAACTTGTTAATGCTTTGAAAAAAAAAATTCCTAACACAAAATGCTAAAATGCAATTTCTGTAAATTACTCTTCAACCAATTTCTCTTCAAAGCATTTCTTATCAAAAAATCTGCGCATCATTTTTACTTCCTTTTTATGTCGTTACTATCATTTGTACTAATGAATTTTTGAAAAATTGGAAACGGTCTTGCTTTATGATCTTGTTTGATGCATCATTTGATAAAATATCGAGATATAAACTTCTTGCCGAAATTTTACAACCTTAAATATCTGACTGTCTGCTTTATTTGATAACTGGCCAGTTCTTTCTTTTCTTTCCTTCTCTTTTTTCCTCCTAGCTTAAGTTATAACTTTTAACAAAAAAATTCCTTCAATTAATTTTAGCATCGAAAACCGTGCGCTTAAAACAAGTGAATTTGTCAGAATTTTGAATAATTCTCCTAAAATATTCAAGAACGTTTGAAAATTATAAATTTTGAATTAAAATTATATGCGTGGATATATTTTTGATATTGCTATTATTGATCTATAAATTTCATCATTTGATCCGAAATCAATTTATTTTAGAGCTCGTAGTCATTCATTCCATTTTTGTTTTTTTAAAATTAATTCATATAAAACTTTTTCAATACTTCTTGTAGGTTGATAATATTAAACATCGATAACTGATAAAAGTTAACAGAGTGT